GAAGAATTGCAATTTTTATTGATAATTTCTTTGTACTAAATTTTAATTTGCTGCTGGAATATGATTCACTGATTGTTGTTTAAAAAGGACTACATACATATTTATAAACCCTTGTAGTACGTTAATTCGAGATCACACCTAACTTGGTGGATGCAAAGTTTTCCTTTGCTAACACATAACGTCGTTCCAATATAAATCTAGTTCGTACTTAAAAAAAGTAAGAAATCAAAGATTAAAATTTAATCTAATTAGTCTAATTGGAAAATTTTGTGACTTCCATGTTATTTATTAAATGTATACCAAGCCCTGTGAGACATTACTCAATAATAACTGTTTAATGTGATTCATTTTATAATGTGCTGTATACTGCATGTATTGTCGTAGAAAGTTCAGATTTTACGGATGATTTCCAGCATCATAATATAAACGTAGACATTAAAAAATAACTGTCAAAAATAAATAAAATTTACGGTGTATAGAAGATAGTCGAAAAAGTCATGTATCAAAAAAAGTTAAATAATCAAACACATTTAAGGGTCGTTTTTACTATTTTCTTGTTGAAATAACCTGGTAGATTATTCCAGATTTTAACCATAAACAGTTTCTTAGTTTCACAAGGAGATAGTAAAATTGACCCTAATAGAGTACACACTTACAGTAAAACGGACTACAGTGTATACAATAATTAATTAAAAACGATAAGTTTACGGATTAATTCGTGATTGTAATAATAATTAATAACCATCAACTGAACAGAAAAATTCGTAAACTTATCCGTTTTTTAGTAGAGCCGCCACTTTTAGCTCTCGCATTAAAAATAAAGAATCAACCGACTCGATTCTATCATTCAAGATACATTTGTAGGACCACACAGTTGAACTAACAGGGTTTTATTACATGAAGAGAATTTTCAAAAGACTGCATAGAGAATGACATTAGGGAGAGGTATACAAACGGATGGGGCCCTTTCATTGTCCCCTCTGTTACGCTTAAAATCTCAGTTCAACATGAGTACTCATCTTTGTGAAATGAAATGGTTAAATAAAGTTCATGTTTTTGAAGTGTTTTATATCTTTTCTTTCCTACTGTTTATTTGTCCTATTTATTAACTCATACCGAATTCTTTCAATAGTCAAAAAACGAGTGTTCCAGACTGGACGTCGTATTTTACTTACATAAAGTATTTAAATCACATACTTGATTTAAAACACGATTTTAATCAATGATTTAGTAATTTGACCTAATTTAACAATAGTAATTTGTTTGTATTAATCTTAAAACTATTAAAAGACGCTCTACTTCTTAGATTTCTAGCAGGACAGTAGAAAAATCAAACGCCACAAGAATGCATGTCGATATCCATACCGCTCGATATTTAAGGTGACGAGCACCGTTTAAAGGTAAGCGCTAGTGATGGAACGGATTTTGCGAAAAGACGGATATCGAATATTCGGCATCCCCTTCGGCCGGATATCCGGTTATCCAGCATATCTATCCGCATTATGGTTATAATTTTTGGTGCATTTCTGAAGTGATACCTTACATCGTCACATTATTGCAATATTTGAAAAAAAACACAGTTAATAAGAAAGCTGATAAGATATGTCAACTTACTTGGATCCAAGATACAAAATGAACTTTTTTGATGCTGATTTAACTAACGAAGCAACTCTAAAAAGAGGATACTTTAATTAATACTTGGCGATATTTCCATAAGGATCGAATGAATTTGAATTCAAGAAATGAATTTTATAGCGAATTTTGAAAGTTATCGATGAAAATTGCAACATGAAAATTTGATCAAAACTTCAAATATTGTTTTCTCAAAAACTAAAAGTTATTTTTCAAAACGTGTTGGTTTATTGGAAAGAGCATTGTTAACATTTTGGGAAACTTTCATACTCATATTCCAAGAAATCGATTTTATACGAATTATTAAAATTTAATCGGCGAAAATTGCAAAATTCGATATAAATAATGTTGTATTCAATGAAAAAAGTCATATTGGGGTTGATCTTGATTATTATCTGCAGTATCCAACACCTAAAAGAGATACTAATTCCTGTAAATGGTGGAGTACTAAGTAATAGATTTTTAATATCCGGCTTTGGCCGTATCTATCCGGTATCCGGCCGGTTTTAAAAAATGACCGGATATCCGTTCCACCACTAATAAGCGCGCACTTGGACGAATCGGATGGACTCCCGGACACGTCGGAGAGACGGAACGAACCAAAATTATTATTTACATTATTTTAAATGGCATAAAGCACATTAATGCGCATCGGACGCATCGCTTGAACGGAATTCCGTTCAGGATTTTGAAAAGAGAACAATATCCGTGCATACGATACGTGCGGATGACGTCATAACATGACGCATTTTTCTCGATTTTTTATTAATTAATATCATAAAAACTAATTAACCAAAATTTGATTGCGAGGTGTCATTGGATTTTTATTTTTTAGCGGTATCAGAAAATGATATTCCAGTTATACCGGAAGTTGCCATCTGCTTTTTTTTTTAAACACCCGGTATATTTTTACATATTTGGAGTTGTCTATTTTCAAGGTTCATGAATAACTTTACTTTCTGCAATTTCATTCGGCCGTTCTCGAGTTATTCCATTTTATCTAAGAAAATCTGCTCTAGCAGACATTTGTTCAAAAAATCAGAGAACACGCGATTTTTGGGATATCAATTTAGGATTCAGACCATGCTTAAACAACATGATGGAGTATGTTTTGGTGCCAAGTACGGCTGTCTAGAACGTTTGGTCAGTTTACTATGGCACGTTAACTTTTCAAAATTTGAAAGTATCAACTTCATTTTTTTAATGGCGCCCCCCATATTTTAGTACTTAGTCGTCTTCGGTGTCTCATTTTACATCTTTTATATCCCATATATTCTATACCTAAACATTAATAGATTGGGAGATAATTAGGGTTTTTGAAAAATGCACACATATCACAAGGATATTTAGCCTAGTGTGCCATGAAAAACAAGCCTTCTCAATGAGTTCTTGTCAAAGACTCACTTGTTTACGTCACTTGACGCATGTGAGCTAATAATTTCGGTTAGGTGCCTTAATATTAATACCAAAAAAAGTTAAAATCGATGACAACAACGAAAATGATATTTACACAAATCAAGAAATTGTTAATTTATTTTTTATACATGGAAAGCTCGACAAAGTTCGTAGTATAATTCCCAGATCTTCTTTGGCAGCTCGAATTGAGGTGTTGGGAGTGTGCTCGAAATAAGCCAAGGTATTCATCACCTCTTCCGCTGCGTAATCTACTACATTTTTTGGTCAGTTTAATAAGTGATTAATTAGTCCAAAATGCAAAAAATGTGCTTCTATCCTTCTAAATTTACCTTTTGTCATCGGAGGTAAATGTAGATAGTTTTCATTAAACATTCTGCACAACGTAAATCAGAGTTTGACGTTTGTCAATAAGTCATCTAACATTTGTTTTCCATGGCATACTAGGTTAATATCAGTATGATATGTGCGCATTTTTAAAAAACCCTAATTATTTCCCAAACTATTAATGTTAGGTATAGGACATATAAGGTATAAAAGATGTAAAATGAGACGCCGAAGACGACTAACGGCCATTTAAAAAAATGAAGTTATGGTGTTTCCAAATTTCGAAAAGTTAACGTGCCATAGTAAAGTGACCAAGCGATCTAGATAGCCGTTCTCGGCATCAAAACACACTCCATCATGTTGCTTAAGCATGTTCTGCATCCTAAATTGATATCCCAAAAATCAAGTGTTTTCTGATCTTTTGAACAAATGTCTGCTAGAGCTTTTTTTTTTAAATCGAATAACTCGAGAACGGCCAAATCAAATTGCAAAAAGTAAAGTTATTATAAATAATAAACTAAACATAAAATAACTTCTAACTTGCTTTATTAAGAGTTGTAGTCGTACTAGTTTCGGGTTACCCCATCATCGGCGAGTCAATGAAATTATAAGAAAACCGGAGCAAAAATCATAGAAAAGTGATATTGTATTAAATCACTTTAAAATAATATTGTATTATTTTATTATATTGATATTGTATTATATTATAAAGTTTATTGTATTATGAATTATTGATATCTGATGGATATTCAAAATGAGGATGAATGTAAAATAACTAATGGTGTCGTCTTGATTGACCTTGTCGCCGATGATGGGGTAACCGGAAACTAGGAGGACTACAAAAGTTAATAAAGCAAGTTAGAAGTTATTTTATGGTTTTTATTTTGATCATTAATCTTGCAACATGGATATTTCTTTAGAACAATTTTTATGGCGCCCCTCTACCTTTCTTTTTCATATCATAATAAAATACGACGTATATTATACGTTGAAAATTTTGACGTAATCAATTCTTTTTATTAGTAATTACTAATTACTAATAAAAAGAACACTTTATACCTAGAAAAAAGTAGTCTAGTCCTGTTGAGGTAACAATGCATTCTTTTCAAACAAAAAACTTTTCTAAAATTAGAATATTACACACCATCATTTTATCAATTTTTTGTTATATATTAAAATAAAGTGTTTTAAGATTTTTATATTGTTAGTTTTATTTGAACCTGCTTACTGTCTTTCATTACAATTACCAATTTACTAAACTGTGATCTTTTTCAATACTGGTACGTTAGGAGAACAAGGGGTTTAAAAAATATTTTGTAAGTATCTGCGAACGTATGTATGTTAAGTATTGTGATTAAATTTGAAAATAATTCTCAAGTACTATTACGCATTAATAAGTAAAAAGGGAAGTAATAATTCTATCAAATTATTTTGTAATTTCGTGCCATTATAGAAGCAGGCTAATTTTGATTGGAATACTATTATTTTTTGTTATCATCCTCAGGTTAACTATCTAGAGATGGCAAAAGTCACTTAATAAAAACGTTCAAAGGAAGTTTAAAATATAAGGATTTTTAGATACTCAAAGGAATTTTTTTTAAAAAACATCTTTACATTTTTATTTTTTATTCCATTACATACAATGTAAAGGAACACCATATAAATACACTTTTTAACGATTAGATTTCGCTACACGTTCCAATTCGTCCTTCTTTTTAATAGCATAAGAGTTTGAAGATCCCTATAAAGAAAAAACAAACATGAAACAACAGAACAAACTCTAATAAACTAAAATTTAATTTTATAAAAACTGTTCAAATCATATCCTTTCTTTCCAAACACAATTTAGCGTTTAGAATAAACGATACAATGCATTAATTTTGTCCTTAGCGAAACTGCAAAATTTAAGAGAATTTCAATTAAGCAGCATTAGAAAGGACCACGTTTCAAAATAAAAACATATATTATTTTTTTATTACCTTTGCCGCATTGATAAGTTCATCAGCTAAACATTCAGCTATCGTTTTAATATTACGGAATGCAGCTTCACGGGCACCAGTACAAAGCAACCAGATAGCTTGGTTAACACGCCTTAAAGGTGACACATCCACAGCTTGTCTTCTTACAGTACCAGCACGACCAATACGCGTCGAATCTTCACGTGGTCCAGAATTAATAATGGCAGTTACCAAAATCTGAATAAAAACAATTACTTAAAATTTGAACAAATAAAAAATTCTTTATTTATTGTTTATGTAAAGTAAACAATCAGATAATTTTTTTAAATATGTATCAACAAGGTTTATTTTCTGAAGAGGTGTCAGAAAGTAAATGGATATCATCATTGTATAGTAAAACCTCAATATAATATAATCAATAGACTAATAATCAAGACAAATAATCAATCAATAGACTAACATGGGGAATGGAGTGTACATAATATGAAAAGTTTTTAATTTGCACTTTGAACTATTGCAATGAATAATTGTAATGCACTACACCTAGAAACATTCGGGTTTACCAGTCTTAAAAGACGTATGGTTAACCCCGAATGTTTCTAGTCCTAGTATTAATTCCACTTTTAATTCAGTAAAAATGTACAACAATCCAGTGCTGAATAACAATTAAAACTAGAACTACCGTTCTTGATTTATATATCATATAAACAACTCAGGCAATACCCTGAGTTGGATTTTATCTATGAATGCGAACAATTCTTTTTAAATACACTGATACATGAAATAGATAAGATTAATAGTATAATTTAAAAATATTTTGACTGGTATATTGAGGTGTTACTGTAATTATTACAAAAAATGATTTAATTGATAATCTTTTTTTTACCTGAAGTGGGTTTTCTCCAGTTAATAAATGGATAATTTCAAAAGCGTGTTTAACAATGCGGACTGCCATTAATTTCTTTCCATTGTTACGACCATGCATCATAAGTGAATTTGTTAAACGTTCCACAATTGGACACTGTGCCTTCCTGAATCTTTTAGCAGCATAACGACCAGCAGAGTGAGGCAAATATTTAGCATTCTTTTCTTTCACTGCAATGTAATCCTAAAATAAGTAAATATTTAACAAAAAAATTTTGGTAATATCAAAATTTAAATAATATTAAAAATGAAAAAAAATTATCAGATTGACCGTAATTATCAACAAATTTTATTCTGAAGAGGTGTCAGAAAAAAATAAAGGTATTTCATCATAATCACATTAAAAATTTTTGATTTAGAATTTGCTTAGCACAAAAATTTTTTAATTATGTCTAAAATTTCAAATAAATTGTCCACACAATATCCTTTTACGAAATGAAACATTTTGCATTTTGAATACAAAAAGATATTATGCATTAATTTCGTCCTTAGCGAAACTACAGAATTTAAGAATACAATTAAGCAGCATTAGAAAGGACATTCTAAACATTAGTATAATTTAAGAATCATCATGTCGTTTAAAAATCGATATTTTTTTTTTAATCGACCGGAAGTCACTCAAGTAAGCCGTTAAAATTTAAAAAAAAAGTGCGGAAAAGAGTAAAACTTACCGAAAAATCACTTTAAAGTTTCGCCGTGACGTCACTTTTTGTGACGTCATCGACCGTGCTAACCATATACACTGCCTCAATAAAGTCTCCGTACAAATTAAATTTCAAAGCTTCTACAAAAAATTTAAAGAAGATACACCTCTAAGGTAATGAAAAACTTGTTAGGATTAATAAAGAAATGTAAGGAATTCGAACTGTAACATTTATTTCGAAATTGAACGTTTTTGGGATTTATAAAAAAATAAATACAAGAAAAAGCGTAAATTCTACGCACAAGTCTCCGTACACGGGCTACCTTAGATTATTCTCCCACCAGTCTTAATTCCCTAGACGCGTATATTCTCGCAAAAAGACTACTGTAGTTCGATGTCGTATTCAATTTTTTGCATATTTATTAAAAATGAGTACAAGACACCGCCAAATTTCACAAAGCATTCGAGATTTGATTGTTAGTTTACAAAAAGATTTCCTATCTTAACTAGGTGAAATGAGCAAAATTGTAAAAAAAGCGCATTCGTCACTACAGAATATTATAGATAATTAGAATAAAATGGGGTGTACGAAAATATAGTTTCGTACAGGACGACCGAGAGCATTGAGTGAAAGAACCGTACAAAATAGCTGGAATTTCCAACAAATACATTTCTAAAGACGATGAATTTTGGAAATCAGTAATTTTTAGTGATGAAACAAAAATTAATTTATTTCATTGTGATTCACACACTAAAAATTTGGCGAAAACGTAACGGACCATTCAAACGAGAAAATTTGTGCCCAACAGTAAAATATGGAGGTGGTAGTGCTACGTTGTGGAGGTGTATGTCAGCTGCTGATGCAGGGAATATGGCATTTATTAATTACCTTGATATTTTAAAAAATAATTTATTAGAAAGTGCTAGAAATTTTGGGATTGCGAGATCATTTACTTTTCAACAAGACAATGATCCCAAGCACACGGTAAAAATTGTGCGCTTCTGGCTGCTGTACAATCCCCAGATCTGAATCCCATAGAACATCCATGGAATGGGATAAAGAGCAAAATACGACAACACCCCATAAAAAATTTAAACGAATTAAATGCTATAATAAGGGGGGAATGGGGCAAAATAGATCCTGCTATTACCCAAAAATTGGTGGCTTTAATGCCGAGAAGATTAGAAGCAGTTATCAAGAGTAAGGGTTATCCCATTAATTATTAAGTGTTTATTTAAAAATTTTTTTTTGAGTTTGTGAATTTACTCTTTTTCTTGTATTTATTTTTTAATAAATCCCAAAAACGTTCAAGTTGGAAATAAATGTTACAATTCGAATTCCTTATATTTCATTAAATTTGTTTTTCATTACCTTGGAGGCGTACCATCTTTAATTTTTTTGTAGAAGTTTTAAAATTTAGTTTGTACGGAGACTTTATTGAGGCAGTGTATTTTCGCAGCACATTTTGTTAAAACGCATATTTTCGGATGAAATAAGGTTGTTTCTTAGGTTTTCGACTAGTGATGGAACGGATAGTGATTTTGTGAAAAGCAGGATACCACATATTATCTATACCGGACATATCTATCCTTCCATTATGGTTATAATTTCTGGCGCATCTCTGAAGTGATACCCTACATTGCCACATTATTGCAATACTTGAATAAAAATAAAATTAATAAGAAAGCTGATAAGATATGTTAACTTATTTGGATCCAAGATACAAAATGAACTTTTTTGATGCAGATTTAACAAACGAAGCAACTTAAAGTGATAACAGCGACAGTTCTGTTAGTAATGAATGTTATGATGAATTACAAGCGAAGAGAAGAAAACTAGACGAAACAGCAACAAGAGATCTTATATATGATATTGGGATAATTACCATAAGGTGCTTTGCTAACGACAAACCGGAAATAAGTAAAGTTATATTACATGAAAAAAAAATCCTATTGGGGCTGAACTGGATTATTATCTGCAGTGTCCAACACCTAAAAAAGATACTAATTCCTGTGAATGTTGGAGTACTAAGTAATAGGTTTTTAATATCCAGCCAAAGCCGGATATTTGGTAACTATCCGGTATTCGGCCGGATTTTAACGAATGGTCGGATAGTTGCCGGATATCCGTTCCACTAATGTCTTCATAGAGCATGCGAAAATGCTTGATTATGGCCATACTGTTTACTTCTTATAATGCCGGGTTTATACAGAATTTAGCTGTAAATTTAAATATTTAGATTTAAGGATTTTATTTAGCTTTAAGAAAAAAATTGATTTATACAGAATTTAAGATTTACAGAATCGCAACCTCAAGAAACAAAATATTACTGGTTTTTGTATTGTCATTTTCTACCAATATCTTATCTTTATGTTCAAAACATTTTTTATCATAAATATATCGGTAGTTCTCAACATTTTTAATTAATTTTCCATCGAATTCACTCATTTTGTTGGCACAGAAATAAACAACGGTTGAGGTTAGGTTATAACGCGCTATTAACACCGGCCGATCATTGGATACAGCTGATTGAGGTCGTCTTGTGCATGTGTGACGCTGTAAATTTAGAAAAGTTGACCAACTTTATGTTTACAGCTAAATCTTACAGCTTTGTATAAACGATACATAGGGTTTCAATACATTTAACCCTTACAGTTAAATTTTTAAATTTAAATTTACAGCTAAATCGTCTGTATAAACCCGGCTTAAGTTTAGCTTACTTATAGTTGTTTAGCGTTGCTTTTACGATTACATTGTTGTGTTTTGTTTAAGAATAAATTAAGTTAACGGATAAACTTATAAATAGTAAACAATATGCCCGTAATAACGCATTTGCGCCAAAACTATGCACAATCCTGCAAAAAAACATTGCTATCTTCTTAGAGAGCATTAAGAAGATAGCAATGTTTTGCAATGGATATCTCAGACGAAAAGTTTGTGGCGTTGTGTTTAGAAAAAAAAAAAAACAAGAGGCAAAGCAGTAAAAAGCGCAAGTGGGTTCATGAAAAATTGAGATAATGGTGATATAAATATAACCTTAAAATGAACAGACAGGATTTGCGTGCATAGTTTTGGTCATCGTAAACATGTTGCTAGATACTGAAAGGGGCTGCGGAACCACAGAAAAATTCGCTCAGTGAGCAATGCAGGCGATTTCGTTTCGTTCCAAACAATTCCGCACTGTTCCGGGCCGCGTTGTTTTTTAAAATTTCCGTTCCGTTCCATTTTATTCCGATCCATTTGAAAAAAAAAGAAACCTGAATGTTTCTAGTTCTAATGTTAGTTCTAGTGACAGTGGTAAGTAGCGCTAGTTAGCATAAGATATCACTATGTTGCATTTTTTTATTGCAGTAAAACTAGAACTAAGACTAGACCTAGAACTAGAAACATTCGGGTTTAGCCGTGTGTCTAAACACAACACCTAGAACTAGAATCATTCAGGTTTAGCAGTCTTGAGACGCGTAAGGTTAAATCCGATATATATTTCTAGTTTTCCACCAGAACTAACACAAGACCTAGAACTAGAAAGATTCGGGTTTAGCTGTGCGTCTTTTAAGACTGCTAAACCTGAATGTTTCTAGTTCTAGGTCTAATGCCAGTTCTAAATAGCATAAGATATCACTATGTTGGATATTTTTATTGCACAAAAACTAGAACTAACACTAGACCTAGAAACATTTGTGTTTAGCTATCTTGACACGTGCGGCTAAACCTGAATGTTTCTAGTTCTAGTGTTAGTTCTAGTTTTACACTAGCACTATCACTACAACTAACACAAGACCTAGAATCATTCGGCTTTAGCCGTCTTGAGAGACGTGCGACTAAATCCTAATATTTCTAGTTTTCGATCTAGTGTTAGTTCTAGTATTAACACAGAGTCAATTGATACACAGTCTATCTAACGACAGGTAGTCAGCCGTTATGCATCGAAAACCTAAGAAAAACAAAGATGTTTCATCCGAAAATATACGTCGTAATCTCACCTAGTGTAGTGAAAATAACTTTACTTTTAAGTTTATCAGATTGATTTTGCGCGTGGCTAGAAAATAAGCAATTTGTAGGTTAGGTGTTGACAGGTTTAATAGGAAAATGCATGGTTAACATTGCTTGTGACATCACATCGAAACTTTAATGTGATGTTTCGGTATGTTCTACACCTTTCAACACTTTCTTTTTATTTTTAACCTGTTTTTTTGGGTCATTTCACATTGATTAAAAATAAAAATCGTCGATTTTTTAATTAACTCTTTGAAGCATGTTGGGTTCTCTGGAGTCCCACTTATTTTTTGTCAATTGCTGCATTGTGGGACTGTGGTGATCCCATTAGAAAAAATGACAATGATAAAAAAATAAAGCTAATTGTCAAAGTAATTGTCACATAAAGATTAACATTGCCTTATTTAGTTGTTTAAGCGCATGCGTGCGCATAAGTCACCGAAATATCAATTAACTAAATATACAGGTTTCCCAAACCTCCCGGGACGGAGCTATAAGTTTTGAACTAGTGAAGAAAAAAATTTGAAAATTTGGGGATCACTAAAGAGTCATAAAAACTACATTCTTAGATAGTTTACAACTTCCATGCAATGTGAAGTTTTTTAGGGGATGACCACCCCCACATTTTTAAATAGCAACCCCTGTCGAGTTTTGCCTTATTTTAAAGCTAATGAAAAAAGAAACAACCCCATAAACTAAAACCAGATATCTTAATTCTTTCAAGAATTATGAGGATTTTTTCGACTGTTGATTTATAAAATGGTGATCGTTGATGAAAAAAAATTATTGAAGACGTGCCCTTCATCCCAAGATCTTGTTCTATCCCCAAAGTCACCAATCATTAAAAGAGTGATTCTTTCTTTTTCGGTCAGTTTTTGCGCCATTTTTGGAGTTAATAAAAGCAAATTTTAGAAAACAAGTTTGTTTTAACTAAATATTAAAAGAAGATAAGTAGACTTAAATTTAAGATGAGAGAGATGTTGTGGTGCAGATGTTATTTTGTGACAGTGACACCGTAACTGTAGTTCTGTTTCTGAAAACTAGAGTATATGCAACAAAACCAGAATCAATAAATGATTTGGAAAATCGCATACTTGAAGAAACCACCAACATCACTAGGGATATGCTCCTGATGGTTCAAAATTCCATTTATGAGCATTTGGGCCATTGCAAGACCGAAGAAAGTCGACAATTTGAACATTTGATATAAAAATCGTAATAAATGTGCAAAAAAACATGAAAACAGTTTATATTCCCATTTGGTAGTCAACCCCTCATAATTCTTGAAAGAATTAAGATATTGGGTTTTGATTTATGGGGTAAAAAAAATATAAGGCAAAACTTGACAGAGAAAAACTCCACAATGCATGGAAGTTCTAAACTATTTAAGAATGTAGTTTTTATGACTACATTCAGTGATCCCTAAATCTTCAAATTATTTTCTTCGCTCGTTCAAAACTTATAGCTCTTTCCTGGAAGTTTTGGGAAGCCCTGTATATTATATAATATTGTATTTTTAAGTTATTCATGTCTATTCGCTTTCCTTCATGATGGGACTACTACAGCCCCACCTTCAAACGTTAAAACTCGGAGGAAAGGAACCACTTTACTGTTATTTACTACCTTTTTCAATGCAGTATAGTCAATTTTACTAGTGACTTATGGTTTTATTATAGTATTTACACTCTGTGCAACAATTAAAATTTTTTGTTGTATTTCTGTGCTTCAAAGAGTTAAGCCACATGATGGAATTTTTCTGAATTAATAACAACAAACAGAAACAATTTAAATTTAACCTTTATTTTACCTGTAAAGACATATCATCTACTTGTACATCATCGCAACTCCACCTTCCAAACAATTTAATTTCTGGAAGTTCTGCAATAGCGGCAATTTGGGTCATGCCGACCGGCTCTTCAAAATTCTCATCGAAATCAGCCATTGTACTGCAACAAAAAAGCCGAAAAACGCACTTTATAAGCAAACATAACCTCACTTTTAAAAATTACAAATTTAAGGTTATTAGATCAAAAATCATCAGATATTGCTTATGTCTACAATGAGATTAAGTCAAGAGGTGTCAGTAAATGCAAAAATCATCATTATAACGAATTATTATTAAAAAAAACTGTTGTATGGAAGTCTTGTTTGAGGTGTAAACACGTGGAGATGTAAAATAAAACGGAGAAAAATTGAAATAATGGGATAATATACGTAAAGGATGATTTAGTGGGAGTTATTGTTAATAATTTTCGTCAAAAAAGGATTTAATATGCAATAATTAAAGCGTACTTACTCTTAAAAATACGAGACACGTTCACTATTTTCTAGCGTGAACCGGAAAGAGCCATCTGCCAAGAAAGCGACAAGAGGAAGGAGTATGGCGACATCTAGTGGGAAATTTGAGTATAAAATATTTAATTTTTTAGTTTTAATGAGTAAAAATGCATTAAAATCGTTTGTTATAATTAAAATAATTATTGGTAATAATTATAAATAATTTAAATGTTTTAAATACATTTATTTTATGATTATCTTTTCATGATGAAGTTTAATTTAGTAAAATATATTTTCTGATATTGGCAACACGAAAAATGCGCGTTATTTAAAACGATCAGCTATAAATGCGAATTAAAACAAGTTTTATTTCTATTTTAATCAATTATATTTATAAAAACATTTAGTTTCGTTAAAAAGGTGTTAAAGAAGTTTTATTAATATTTAATAATTTCATAAAAAGATGTTTTTGCATTAATTAGTAACAACGACATCTCCGTCGATATGTTTACGTTGCGTAGAGTATTTCGATAAAGGTAAGGTTTTCGCTTTCTATCGTTATTTTGATTTGTCGTTTTGCCCGTTTATTTTTGGAACGGTCGCAACGTTTTAACTAATATAATTGGATACAGAAGGTAAATATCCCCCACATGCTTTTGAGAGTGTTCTCGCTAAAATCGCCGGGCAACGTCTTGCCAACAATAACGAATTGACATGACTTTGGAGGATCCCTTCTTCGTGGTCAAAGAGTAAGCAATAGTTTGCAAAAAAGGGACTGCTTCAATTATTATTTACCATTATTATTATTATTTCGTTTCAATTGTTTTTTTATTTTGCTGATATGGCTTGAAATATATCGCTTTGTGATGTGCTGAATGAAATTTTCTTTTCTTATTCCTTTGTTATATGAAAATATATGATTTATTAATTTATTTATTAAATTATTTTGCTTGAAGAATGTGTTTTTTATTTATAAAAATATTTAACCCTTTAATGCACTTATACTCATGTTAATATTTCATAATTTGGTCTTTATTATACAAAGAAATATGAATATAATTATTAAAGGGTTAATAGATTGATATGAAGAATCTAAATTAGTTGTTTTAACTTTTTTGTAGTGAAGTTTTTAAAGCATTAAATAAAACAAGAGGTTTATATTTACGTTGGATTGAACTTCAAGATGAGACAGTTTGTATTACGAAAGAGGAAATTGAATGGACCAATACGGAATTAAAAAACTCCCTGAGGAGTATTGAATGGGATTTGGAAGATCTAGAGGATACCATTGATATAGTTGAGAAAAACCCAACAAAATTTAAAATTGATAACAAAGAATTAACCACAAGAAAAAATTTTATTGATTCAACACGAGTTGAAGTAAAGGTAATCATATCCATACAATTATGACCCTTCAAGATATATTTATAATTTTTTTAGTCTATGAAAGATAAATTAAGTATGAATAGATCAAAAGAGAGAGATCGTTTAGCCAGACAGGTAAAAAATTACTCATAAGTTGATCTATAAAGGAAATTATTTCAGATAAAACTTCTTACTTACTTGTATTTTAATGTTTATTGGTACCTTATTGGTAATCTATGTAAGTGGAAACAAAAAATCATTAAATCAATCAAATTACCAAAAATAATATCTCAAAGGTGATAAGATATGCTGATGAAGTTTTGATAATATGGGAAGGCAATAATGCAAATTTGGAACTCTTTCAATACCTCAAGAATATCCACACAAATTAAAATTTCACATTAGAAATAGAAAATAACGAAATAGAATTAAATTTTTTAGACCTAAAACTTATTAATGTATATGGTAGGATTAATTATGATATATACATGAAAAAAAACTACAATCCCTACTACAGGGTCTGCCAAATGTCTGGAATATAGCCAATAACTTCGAAAATTGTGGTTTTAAAGAAAATTGTTTCAAATTTCTTAATTAATCGTGGCGCATTTTTTGCGATACTTACTTCTTTGTATTGTTTTGTGTTTCGTTGCTATGGAAACCAACATTGTTATTTTAAATGGGATGCATATACAGGTGCCCATTATGTATGGAATATACAGTGTCTGTAAAGTAATAGATATAGGCTATAAAATCATAATAAACGGGTTATGGAAAAATTCCAGAAACGGGACTCAAGATTTAAATTTTTTGTAATTTTTTGGTGTAGATTTCAAATTTTTTCCGCCATTTTTAAACGAACATCGATATTTTTTCAAATGGCAATCTCCCATTTTTATTACGGAATATGAAAGAGTATTTTTTTCTGAATCTAGTACAGTCAATATTAATATTGGTTACATAAGAAAATTTTCGAGAAAAATTACTTTAAAGTTTAATTACTTTACGTTTTAATTACTAAACATAGCAGTAGCCATGAGTAACTATGGTAACCAATTATTTTAAAAAACTCTCTGAGTGTCAAAAACTGATTTAGTAAAGCTTCTTGAAGTGTGGTGGCGCGCCATCTTGTTGGAATAACTGCCATTGGAATAGGGCCGTTAAGTATTTTTTTTTATTGGCTTATTCGAAAGTTTTTTAAAATTGATTATATTTTTTAATTTTTGATTTTGAGGCTTAGTTATTCCAAAAAAAAAATAATAAAGTTTGAAATTACAGAGCGCGAACTCCAAAGTACGTCACTCAGATTTAAGCGTACGATTGGAGCTCCAAAATACGTCACTCAGATTTGAACGTACGAGCCTATAACAATCAATAAAATTTCTGAAGAGAGACAATGCTACGAATCTTATGCGCTAGAAGAAATTTTAAACTTTCACATTAATTATTGCGAAAATTAAACAATTTTCGCACGTGAAAACGTTACTAATCCGCCTAATTTAATTTTGATTATCGATTTTTTGAAAGGCGGTCTTTCTAATCGATTGACCTTAACGGCCCTATTGAGTTGGGACAACATTATAGGGACATCGTTTTGAAAAAATTTAAAAATCTCTTTCCAGTTTAGGTTTCCTTAAATCTTTTGCAGATATTGGGTGTGCGACTTTGTTGGCTAATTCGGATTTTGGGTAGCGCAATACCGACAACTTTTTTTATTTACTTATCCACTTAATGTAAATGTACCTTCCTTGGAAAAAATTATGTTTTTGACAAAGTCTTCGTCGTCGTTGCAAAATTGTTATTGCTAAAACTACGATTCTATGCTCGTGGATGAGGTTTACTTTATGGGAATGATATTTTGCGGGTTTTACAATTTTGTGAACCGTTGATTTACTAATGTCCAAATTAGACCCAATACTCCTTACAGTAACATGAGGGTTTTCTTAGCCAGTCAAAACCACGGTCTATTGAACTTCTCCTGAAATATTTAGTAGGCCAGATTCCGAGAAATGCTTCGAGAGATGCCCATCCTTTTTAAATTTAGTCACAGCTAGGCTCACCATACTTTTGCCAATGAATTGGCGATCAGGATATATTGTATTAAAGAGGTCAACTACTTACTAACTCAGTTTTTGACACTTAGGAAATTGTTTAAAATAATTGGTTACCATATAACTCATGGCTACTGCTATTTTTATCATGTCAACAAATCCGAAGTAGTTAAACATTAAAGTATTTTTTCTCGAAAATTTTCTTATGTAGCCAATAGTAATATTGAGTGTAATAGATTCAGAAAAAATCCTCTTTCCTATAATCTTTACCTTTAGACAAATTTAAAATTACTCTTAAAAAAAGGATCACGGAAGAATGCTACTATTCTCTGGATGAATACTATAACGATTAGTTTATTATTTTCTCGGCTTATTGTGTATTTATACTATATTGTGTACTTATTTTTGACATACCTTATACTACTAACTATAGTCTGAAAGGGTGAATAAAGGTGATTTGATTTGATATTCCATAATAAAAATGGGGGATTGCCATTTGAAAAAAATATCGATGACGTCATAACTCATTTAAAAATGGCGGAAGAAATTTAAAATCTGTACCAAACAACTGCAAAAAATTTAAATCTTTAGACCCGTTTCAGCGATTTTTCCATAAACCGTTTATAATGATTTTATCGCCTATATCCGTTACTTTACGGACATACTGTATATGAATATCTCGGTAAATGTTGACTTTACAAAAAGACATTTTCTACAAAAGTTGTTTAATATTTTATTTGTCATAATAAAACTGCATTTAACTGTTTTTAATTCAGAAAACAAATGAGTAACGAATAACACTTGAATTTTTTTAAATGGCAATGTACCCTTTCGTTAGGCTCATTTGATAGAGATTACATTTCTCTTTACGATGACGTAACATTTTTGTGCCTTTACATCAGAAAATCTTTCAAAAAAATGTAATTTTATAAGTAGGCTTTGATAAATTGAGTGATCGCGTTGCTAGGATACCGGAATAAACAAAGTAGATTTTGTTAATTATTATCAAACTGAATTTTGAAATATTTGAATATTTTAGCAGCACAGGAATCTATAATCTTCACAATAATAGGATACCAGCATTGGCGTCAGGAAAACCAACATATTATAATTGATCGGAAACGTCAGGGAAAATTTGGTTTTAGCGTGGCATGTTTTTTTATTGGTCCACGAATTGTTTACAAAATATATAAAGGAAATCTTTGCGCTAATCGCTATTTGGCCATCTTGTAAGAAGCTTAGTCAGATATTTTGGATATCTGTTATTCGGTTAAATAATATTTATTTTCAACAGGACAGAAGTCCCGCTCATAATGCGGGGTTAGTGAGCCGAATCCCTGTTAGGTGGCCTATCTATGCATGGTCCAACGCGATGGCTAGCAAGATCACCCAATTTATCTATTTTGAACTTTTTTTATGGGGATATATCAAGAATCGCGTATATAGTACCTAGAATTGAACGAAATTGAAATAGAAAATTGCTGTAAATTATGCTTTTTCACATTTACAGCAACATCCCATAACTATTCTAAATGCAATTAAACGCATTACTGAACTTTGTGAACAATGTGTGCATAAAAATGGTAGCAACTTTGAACAATTCTTGCAACTTGAAGCCATATTTGCATCATTTCTAGTTTTTAATTATTTTTCGTTTTTTGCAAACAAAAATTAACAGATACATTTTTTTAATAAGTCAATAACTAAATGAAAGTAATATAGCAGTAAAAATATAGTATTTTCAAAATTTTCTGTTTATTCCGGTATCCTAGCACCACGATCACTTAATTTATCATAGCCTACTTACAAAAGAATGTGTTTTTTTTTTAATTTCGAAGGTAATTATGAAAGTAAATATAGAGTATTATATATCATTGAAAAGCTTGAAAAACTTCTACTTCAATAAAAAATAAAATATAGGTGGTTCCATTTAAATGTAACCTAAGTTGTGTTTATAACTCAAAAACCGTGATAACTAGAAAAATTTTACGTGCACCATTGGATTCTACGTGAAGAAATCTATCAGAACCCGTTTTTACTTTTTTACTAAGTTTTTGGATAGCCGAGATACATGGGGTGTCTGAAAATCGTAAATTTTGAAACACTCCCTGTATATCAAAAACGAAGAGGGTTATGAAAATTTGGTTTGCGCTATTGTAAGTTTCACAAAAAAGTAGCTCAGGTTCGCGAAAACCGCAACTTTCTATCTTTCATAATTGAGATACCCTGCAAACCCATCGAAATTTGGACATCCTGTACATCTCCAATAATTCGAGGTACCTACTTAACGATTTCGGATATCTAGATTAATGTTATTAGTTAAATTTCATTAAATAATTTAAATAAAATTCTTGCTATATTTATTAAATTCCTCGGTACCGGTTTCAAAATAATTTATTAGGTCATCATCAGCCGAATCTACATGTCCAAGAAATCACAATTACAAACATTCCTTAAATAAGTTAATCGATACGAATTTAAAAAGATAAAAAATCTATAATTAGAATTTTAACTTACGGTCAAATTAAAAGTCTTTACAAAATGGAGACACGAAATACACTTGTAAACCTTATAAAATTAAAAAATCTCTAAAACCGAACATACATTGGACGAAACAAGATATAAACTGCATTATAATAAGATCTCTGTTATAAAACAAACAGGTTTCCAAGAAATTTTTACAGACATAAATAACCTTTTACCGAATTATACAAAGAAAACGAAACCATAAAAGCCCGAAAGAATTTTATATTTTACTTAGGTAACTAAACAAAGGTGTAAATTTAATATCCAACTGGTCATTGAGAAGTTCATATTTTTTTTGTTTTTAGTATACTTGTTAATTTCTAGAGCTTCCAAAAGATCTAATTTAAAACCTTTGTTACATCTATGCAACAATTTTACATTCTCAAAATCAGTCTCGTGTCCTGTTTTAATTTTATGTTTAAAAACATTGGAATTGGTTTTATTTTTATGTTCCATTATTCTATTTTCCAATTTTCGGCCAGTTTGCCCTATGTACATGTTATTACATTCAGAGCAGTTATTCTGATAAACACCACTCTCTTTATTAATGTTATAATT